TCACACATAGGGTAATCTATTTATAATAGAGAGATTTAACTAAAAGAGTAACTGAAAGTAACATAATAAACAGAAGATATTGTTTGATATTGTGGTTAACAATATCTTAACAATATCAAATAATATCTAAACAATATCTAACACTCCCCCTTAAGCTAGAGCATACAAATCGTATATGTCAAGCTTGTTACAAATATAATTAATTCTAGGTCCCCGTAAAGATTTAGTAAAAATATCTGCTAACTGATCACTTGAGTTAACAAACTCAGTCTTGATGTCTCCAAACATAATCTTTTCTCTAATGAAATGACAGTCAATCTCAATGTGTTTGGTCCTCTCATGAAAGACAAGATTAGAGTTAATATGAATAACAACTTGATTGTCACACACAAGTGACATTTGAGTGACATCTCCAAATTGTAACTCTCTAAGCAATTGTTCGAGTCAAACAAGTTCACAGACAGCTGAGGTCATAGCTCTATATTCTGCTTCTGCACTAGTTATTGCCACAACACTGTTTCTTACTTTTTCATGAGACCAAATTACCACCAATAGAGACACAATATCCAGATGTAGATCTTCTATCCGAAGGAGATCCTGCCCAATCAGCATCTGAGTAGCAAACAACTCTTGTATATTAGAACCATATAACAATCCTTTTCCAAAAGATCCTTTAATATACTTCAAGATACGAATGACTGTATTCCAATGATCTTCATATGGGGAATTAAGAAATTGGCTTACCACACTGACCGCAAAGGAAATGTCAGGACGAGTAACTGTAAGATAATTCAATTTTTCAACCAATCTTCTATACTGCTCAAGATCATGTATAAGCTCCCCCTGATTTGGTAGAAGTTTAGTATTGAGATCCATGGGTGTATCAACAGACTTTGAACTCATCAACCCAGTTTCCTCCAAAATATCTATGGCATACTTCCTCTGAGATATAACAATACCATCATTGGACTGTGCCACCTCAATACCCAAGAAATATCTAAGTTTGCCAAGATCTTTGGTCTGAAAATGGTGACAAAAATGTTGTTTCAACTGAGAGATGTCATGGTTGTCACTACCTTTAAGAACGATGTCATCAACATATACTATCAAGTAAACACATCCAGCACTCGAGTGTCGATAAAAGACAGAGTGATCTGCTTCACACCGAGGCATACCAAATTATTGAACAACCTTGCTAAACTTTCCAAACCAAGCCCTAAAAGACTGTTTTAGGTCATATAAGGATTTGCAAAGACGACGTATCATCCCAGAAGACTCCTCCTGAGCAATAAACCCAGGAGGTTGCTCCATATAGATTTCTTCTTGCAAATCACCATTGAGGAAAACATTTTTAACATCTAGTAGATAAAGAGGTCATTGTTGAAGAGCGGTCATGGCGATAAATAAACGAACAAAAGTCATCTTTGCCACGGGAGAAAAGGTATCTTCATAATCCAACCCAAAAATTTAAGTATGACCTTTGACCACAAGACGAACTTTGAGGCGATCAATAGTACCATCAGGTCTAACTTTGATAGCAAACACCTACCTGCAACTAACAACATATTTCCTAGACAGTAACGAGACCAATTCCCAAGTTCCACTATTATGAAGAGGACTTAGTTCATCTAACATGGCCTGACGCCAACCAGGATGGGCTAAAGTTTCACGGACAGTTTTTGGAATGGTCACAGAAGAAAAAGAGGAAAGACATGTATAAAAAGATAATGACAGTCGATGATAACTCAAACCAATATAATGGGAAGAGGGATTACGTGTAGAACGGATACCTTTTCGGAGGGCAATGGGAAGGTTAGACTCAGGTGTCACATCCAGAGGAGACAGAGTAGTTGGCACTTGAGTGGAGTCACATGGTAGTGGTTGTGATTGGTTTCGGTAACTATAAACCTGAAAAGACGGTGAAGAAGAAGCTGACTGTAGAGCAGAAACTAATGGTAAAGAAGACACAGTTAGAGGGTCACAAACAACAGGAACATTAAATGTACTAGGAGTGTTAACAAGATTGGATGGAGATAGAGGTGAAGATTGACTTTTAAAATAAAAAAAGAACTCATCAAATGTAACATCTGCAGACACAAAATAACGGTGAAGAGAAGGAGAAAAATATTTGTATCATTTTTGTGATCTTGTAAACCTTAAGAAAACACATTTATGTGATCTAGGAGAAAGCTTGTCAAGACCAGAACTGAAATTATGAACAAAACATGTAGACCCGAAAATTCTTAGAGGTAAGGGATGAAGTGGTTTATGAGGGAATAAAATGGAATGAGGTATTTTATTATCTAAAATTGAAGAAGGCATGTGATTAACAAGATAACATACATCCCAAAAATGCTGAGGAACCTCTCCATGAATTAAAAGAGTGCGAGTTGTTTCAATAAGATGTCTATTTTTACGTTCAGCAACACCATTTTGTTGAGGTGTATAAGTACAAGAAATTTGATGCAAAATACCATGAGAAGCCAATAATTGTTTAAAAAAATGAGAAAGATATTCACGACCATTATCATTGCGCAAAACTCTAATAGAAACACCGAACTGAGTTTGTATTTTATTAAAAAAAGATTAAAAGATATGAAATACTTCAGAACGATTTTTCATAAAAATAACCAAGTACATCTGGAATAATCATCAATGAAAGTAACAAAGTATTAAAAACGTAAAGTAGATTTAATGCGGTTAGGTCCCTAAATGTCAGAGTGAACCACGGCAAAAGGGGACGAAGCACCACGTGTGACACTACGAGGAAAGGAAGTACGACTATGCTTGTCTAATTGACACGACTCACATGCCAAACTAGATAACTTAGATAAGACAGGGACAAGCTGTTGTAACTTGGCAAAACTTGGATGACCTAACTGAGCATGAAGAAGAGAGGGAGACTCCATAACTGCACCAACATATGTAAAGGGACGAAGATGATAAAGACTATGAGACTCACATCCTGTGTCAATCACTTATTTCGAACTCCGGTCCTATAAACACACAAAATTGTTGGTAAAAGAAACAACACAATCAAGAGAACGAGTTAGACGACTGATGGATAACAGGTTAAAAGGAGACTCAGGGACATAAAGAACATTATCAATGGTTAAAAAAGGGAAAAGTTTAACAGTTCCAACACCATGAGATGATACTCTAGAGTCATCAGCCAGTGTAACAGAAGGTAAAGGATTAGGAGAGGATAAAGAGGAGAACAAATATTTGTTACTAATAATATGATCACTGACTTCTGAATCAAAAATCCAAGGACCAGAAGAAGATTGGGTCAGACCAGCAAAAGATGTACCTGTGTGTGCGACAAACACAGTGGAACTAGAAGACTGTTGATCCTTATACCATTTGAGAAATTTGTTGAACATAGCAGATGTGTCGGATGAAATAGAAGAATGAGGATCCTTAGCAGATAACGGTGGGGAAAGATCAGTCTGAACAACTGCAGCAGATCGAGGAGGACGACTATGTAATGTATAGCACTTGTCAATCTTGTGACCTAGCTTGCCACAATGTTCACACTCATGTAATGCATAACACTGGTCAATCTTGTGACCCAGCTTGCCACAATGTTCACACTTAGGACGCCTTTTTTCCTATTTGCGAGGGTGAGTTCGGTCATCACGGTGAGATACCAATGCAGAAGAATCATTAACAGGAGTATGTGTGTCAGGGTTGGGTTTGGCTGGTACACGCAAAAGAGTGGAGCAGGTCGAAGTCAAGGTGGGTACAACCGGAGAACCCAAAATTTGATTACGAATATGTGAATATTGATCAGCAAGTCTGTGTAATGTCCCTAGCATGAAGAACTTTGATCGTTTTGCTATCTCGGTGGCAGGATCGGGGGAAGGAGGCAATAACTCATTGAACTCATGAAAAAAAGCATGAATTTTGCCCATATAATTAGTCATAGAATCTTGATGTTTAGAGGCAATAACATTTACAAATTTAGAACAAACATCATAGAGACGTTGAGTATCATTTTTGTATAATAACTTGGCATGTTCCCAGATTTTGGCACATGTTTCGTAGGAACGAAAAATTTGTTTTAACGAAGGATCAAGAGTACCCTTGAGAACTACACATAATTGAGCATCAATGGTGTCCCAACGGTCTTCCTCACCAGGAGTGAGAGTAGGTGCTTTCGGGGCATGATGATCAAGATACTTCTGACTCTTAAGCCATAACCTGACGTTTGATGACCATGTGGCATAATTAGGGTCAGTTAACTTGTTAATGGATAAGTGCACATTAACATAGTTAGTGTAGATGGAAGGATCAGACGCAGTACTGACAGAATTGGAAGTACTAGAAGGAGCGGAAGAAGTCATAAAGGGCGGAGGCGGCGTGAACCAGTACACCAGGTAAGTTCCCAGGAAAGAGAGGTGAGTCACTAATGGACACGCTTAAATACCAAGTCTTTCCTTGTCAAAACCTTCCTAGACATGCACTTTCACACTACCAAATAATATCCAATAACAAAAATAATTCTTTTTTGATGTAAAATATCAGTTTAAGCGGTAGCGATAGCGGCGGCGGTGGTGGCTCCAACAGTGGTCAAAGGCGAAAAAATTTCAAAATAACCTTAAGTTCTAGATACCATGTTGAATATAAAAGAAAAAGAGTTTGAGATTAATCTCCCTTTTGTATAAATCACACATAGGATAATTTATTTATAATAGAGAGATACAACTAAAAAAGTAACTGAAAATAATAAAATAAATTGAAAATATTGTTTGATATTGTGGTTAACAATATCTTAATAATATCAAATAATATTTAAACAATATCTATCACTCATAATACCCAAATCCCAACATAGGATCAGCTCATCGACTACCGCACTCTATAACACTTAGCCTTTTTGGCTAGTCCCTCTGCATGAGTAGCCTTAAACACTGACAATCAACTCTTATTTAATTTCATTAGTCTCTATGTTTTTTGTCTCCTAATGTCGTATATTTTGAACATTAGCATTGTGCTAGTGTCCGTCTCGGAGTTTGTGATTCATATTCATGTGATGTTCGATATGATGCTTAGGCATTTCTAAGTATCCAAAACCCTATCAATAAGTTGATTCTCATGGGGCGGGAATAACATTTGTATGTAAAACTTCCTTTTTTTTTTCCTTTACATACCACTTTCACAAAATTAAAAATTTTTTAGTTGCTAATATAGAATTTAAAAAAAAATAAAAAATTAGAAGCATAGGTTAGCTTGAGAATTTATTTTTTTTAAGACTTAGCTCGAAAAAACTTATTTTGTTTGTAAGTAAGCCTAATTTGTTTAGGCTTGATGTGGTTTAGAGCATAAAATGTAGCAGAAAGAACAGACCCATGTGTATTTCAATTTCTCCTAATTTTTTAAATGGATTTTCTACATCCTGATGAAAGAACATGCTGTTCAGACAGCCTTTTATAATGAATATTAATAATTTTACCTGGACCTTATCATGCAATTTGTTTCTCATTTTGTTTAGGGTTTCTAAAGGTGTGAGAGATCTACCCGGCAACTTCCAGTCTGCAACGAGTAGTGTGCCTTCTGGCAAATCACTTGTGTATTTTGGTTTGCTTCTGGCAAGTGGAGTCTTCTTTGTTTTCTTATCATTTACATTATTCCTACCCGTCATGGTGGTTATGCCCCAAAAGTTTGCTATATGCTTTACACTTGGTTGTGGATTTATTATCGGATCATTCTTTGCTCTCAAGGGTCCCAAAAATCAGCTTACACACATGTTATCAAGGGAGGTAACTTGCTTGAATTTCACTTCCTATTGTTTGCATGATGGTTAAAAATCTTGAGCTGCCGTAATGTTGCTTCAATGAATTTGTTTGGGCTTTTTGAAAAAAGTCTCTTTGATTTTATTGTTTCCGTTTGCTGATTCTTCCCTACTGTCTCTCTTTGTAATTATTTTTCAGAGGCTCCCTTTCACATTGGCCTTTTTAGGCAGTATGATTGGTACCATATATGTATCAATGGTGCTTCACAGCTACATCCTCTCTGTGGTATTCTCTGTTGTGCAGGTATTATTTTCACGTATCCTTAAAATGCTTTTCTGTAACTTGCCATGCCCATTCCCCAATCCTCTTGTGTTATTGTTCTGATTTGCTGTTTTGATTTAAGGTGGTATGAGTGTGATCTTGAATTTATTACAGCAATTAGGAACAATTCTTTCAATCTATCAAAACTAGTATAAATTTAGGAACTGCTATTTACACACTCCTGGTAGTGTGCCTCATGTTATGTGTGTTTACACATGATTCCAAGCTTCTAGTAGCTGGATGTGTGTAGATAGGTCTTCTTTACAGAATTTTTCTTATCATTCTGTTGCAGTCTTTTATAACTATATATGTCTTGCATTGAAAATTAAAGTGAAATTTTGACTTCACTTGCAGGTTCTCTCACTTGGCTATTATTCTATATCATACTTTCCTGGTGGATCTGCTGGAATGAAGTTTCTGACTTCTGCTCTTACCTCTTCAATAATGAAATGTTTTGGGCGGTGACCAATTTTTCTGTTGATAGTTGAGTTGAGTTCAGACCAGTGTCTATATTTGTAGTTGACTTGTAAATTTGTCTCTTAAGATCTATCAGCTGAAGAGACTTAAGAATACTACTGGGTTGAAGCATCATCTAACACTTTCTTAGGGTTCAAAGTTTGTTGCCACTTCCATATCTGAATGAAAAAAAAGATGGTTTGCCTCTTCGCCTTATGTTTGTAACAGCAAAATAACATTGATGAAGTTAATTCTACCTTCGTGTTGTCTCCCCTATACAACTGGGATTTGAAATAGTTTTTTTGTTTGAAAATTTCATTTTTTTGATTGGGAATTGATTCCTCCCTTTCGAGTTAAATATATACCAATGCACACTATATATATAGTTTGTTAGTTAGTTAGATTATTAACTTCAGTGGCTATCCATAGTCTTGGATCGCAATCTGCAATGTCTGATTTCATACAACTAGCAAGCCTAAGCAGAGCAACTAAACAAGGGCTAAGGTATGGCAGCCTATATATTTATGTGTAATTGACTAAATTTCCCAGAATAGATGCAGGTAAACAAACACAGTAGGCGACATTCTTTAATTCAAAGCCTCTGCAAACTGATGCAGAGTGCTACATCAATTCATGGACTTGTCTGCTATATTAAAAAATGCAGCTATTTGATGGGGAACAAAAATGATGATTGACAGAATCGGGAGGGATGATAGCAAGTTTTAAGCAGAGGTTGGAGATGAAAGTAAAAATCTAGTGGAACTATCACAACCTCTAAGATTGTGTAAATGCGAATGTAACCAACTTCTAATACTATGTAGACCATGAATCTCCTATCAAAGGCAAGATTATTTTGTCACTTGATCCTTATTGTACTATGATCGATGTTGGTTGGCTGGTACACCATCAGTGGTTAAAGTGGAATCATCAAAAGAAATCTCACAGATTTGCTGATCCTGCCAAAAACAATATGTAGAAGTTTGCTCGAAACTGCGATCATCCGGGCCCTCCTCCCCCCATTCTTTCCCCACCACCCCTCTTTTAGACATTGTTGAATTGAATACTACAAAGAGACAACCTTTCCCGGGTTTAAAGGACCAAAGTAATGTTCCCATGAAACTTTTTGACCTGACTAATATATGTTAGAAGGGGATTGGCTTTTTCTTCAGGGGATTTTCTTATGAAATAATATTGTGAATTAAAAAATGAAGTAATAACATTAAAGAATGGGCTTGAAGAGCTATTTGTAGTCAACAGTACAAGGGGTTACCTTTGTGAGTTTGACATAAATGATTCTATAATAAGGTAATGATTTCTACTTCTTGTTTGAGTAAAAGGAAAAGAAATGAACATCCTCCTCCTCAAGCTCCAGAACAATGTACTTTTCTTTTTTATTTCCAAAGCGCCAGGCAAAAGACTTTGTACACCAATGCTGACTCGTGGAGTTGATTTGACAAGTTCAACGAGGTGTGGTTCTGGTGAAAAGGAAGGATTTGTAAGCTCTCTTTGTATTCATGACCTCCTTTTTTAATAATTTATAGCCATTGGAAAGTTACTAGGGAGCATAAGCCCGGATTTAAGGGGATATTTGGACACAATAATGGGTGAGACTGCTATTTAACCTTTTAATATGAAGGTTATGTGTGACCAAGAGATGTTTCTATTCGGCATAATCCTTTTAATAATGGAATTATTGATATGCAAGGGTCATCTTCATTGAGAGAAAACAAAGCTGAAGTCAGTGGAGCACTTTGAAACTTTTAATAAACTAAAGACACGTTAAGGAGAAAACCAAACTTGAGAGTCAAATTTATGAAATATAAAACCATGTTCATCATTAGGGCGGCAATAATTTGAATTGTCCCCAACAATTTGCTAGATGGTGGATTTCAGTTCTCAAGGTCACATTTTTAGAGATAAATGGCAAAACTTAAATGTAGCAATGTTTTTGTCCAGCACAATTTCCCATGATCAATTGCCTTGTTCTCTAGAAAAGTTGTACACTCACCTAGTCTATGATTTTGGGATGTAATCACACGGATTATTAGATGCAATTGTCCAAATAAATCAAAGATTCCAAATTCCAATTCGTTTTATTTGACAAGGATTTTGTCACATTGGTAACTAAATCAGAATTAACTTCCTTCCAATTGCATTTTGAGGTGATTTTATTTTGTGATGACAAATGTGGCGGATCTTTTGGGAACGGAGTGATGATTCTAAAAGTTTGGTAATTTTTATATAATTTATAATTTCGAAAATTATTTAATTATATATATAATTTTAATCTATTTTAATTTTATAATTTTTATGTAATTTATGATTTTAGCTTCTTAAATTTAATAATTAACATTGTTTTTATCCATTGGTTTGTATCAACTAAAAATTCCACTTGATATACATCTAATTTCCCATTTGTTACTGCACGTGTGCCATGTATCAAGGACAAACGTTCTCTTATTATGGTGAAATAGAAATAGAATATTAGAATTTAATTTTGAGTTGAAGATATAAAATAAAAGAATTATGTAATATATAAATAAAAAACTCAGAAGGTTATTATTTTAAAATTTTAAATTATTTATAAATAAAAAACTCAAAATATTATTTAAATTAAAATAATTTTATATTTTTCTGAATTTTTTCTTATAATTATCTAATAAATTACAATTATCCAATAAATAATATTAGAGTTAAAAAAAATTTCCATGAGCTTTTAATAGAAAATCATTCAATTTCATTTTATATGCATATACATATTATATTAATTATACTATATTTATATATATATATATATATATATATATATATATATATATAACTTAAAATAATCTTAAACAGTGAAGATATTATCATAAAATTCTAATATTAGTGCATAATTCAATTTATTTGTTTAATTATATTTAGTTTCTCTAAAATATTTTTATAAAAGTGAAATTAGAGATAATAATTAAATTTGTACCTGTAGGATCAAATGGTTCTTACTCCAGGTTTGATAGGAAAAAATCAAGTTTATCGGGGACGAGGTGAGTTCGAGTTTTTCTCGCTTTAAAAAGTCGGGGACGGGGCGGAGATGGGTAATGCAATCCCACCTCGGCCCCGTCCACTGCTGACTTTATATTTAAATTTTAATTTTAATTTTAAAATATTAATATTTTAAAATCATTTTCTTTTCTTTTTTTTATTACGTATAAAGTCAAATTTTTTTAATATTTCACCATTTTTACTTTTCTTCTACCCATTTTTTAATTTTTTTTGTCTTTTTTAATCTTTTATATCAATTAGTTCATTACATTATTCTCTTTCTTTTACCTTTCAATACAAATTTAATTTTTCTTATTTTTTATATTTTTCTAAATATTTTAAATTAATATTAGTAGTAACTAATATTATTTTATTTATAATTTATCTTTATTAGTTTTATTATATCATATTTTTTGAATTTTATTATATATCAAATTTTATATTAAAAAATAATTTTATTTTAAATAATTAAAAAGAATTAACTTATTAAATATTTTCTTATAAATTATATATTTCATATTTTAAATAACAACTTAAAAAAATTAACTTATATATATAATCAAATATTTATATATATAATTAATGTTAGACAAATGGCATCTAGAGAGGGTGAATAGATGTACAAATTTTAATAGATGTCAAATTAAAAATTTATTTGTGAGTCAATAATTTGTTTGAACACAGATAAAGTGGAAGCGAGAATCAGGAAAAGAGAAAGAGATAAGGGAAAGAGAAGAGCACACAGTAATTTATACTGGTTCGGGTATAATCAACCCTACATCCAGTTCTTAGTCAACTCTTAACACAAGACTGACTCCCAATTCACTATCTTTCAAATTCAATTTACAAATTACAATCAACTCAGCAGAAGAATCAGTAAAAAGTAAACTAATTAAAAATACAATCACCTCCTTAGAAACTCACTAAGTATGAACACCTCCATAGAATCTCACTAGGGATGAACACCTCCTTTGAACAAATCAAAGGATGAAAAACACCTCCTTAGAATCCCACTAAGGATGAACACCTCCTTAGAATCCCACTAGGGATGAACACCTCCTCTGAACAAATCCAAAGATGAAAAATACCTCTTTAGAATCCCACTAAGGATGAACACCTTCCTAGAATCACACTAGGGATGAACACCTCCCTGAACAAATCAAAGGGACGAAAACACCTCCTAAACCCATAAAGGATGAAGGAGTAAGATAAAAATAGTCACACCTGGGTAATGGAGACAACAAATTGTAGAAGCTTGTAGAATGTCAATCTCTAAAAACAAGTGTGATTAACAATGAAAGTACAAAAGGCAGTAGAGAAGAGGGTTTTTTCAGAAGGTGTAAAATATCTTTGTTGTCATGCTCAGAGTTTTTTCTCAAAACTGATTGAATGTAAATTGTATTTTCAAATTCTGTAATTGTGTGTTTTTTATTTTTCATCAAAACTTAATTAAATAAAAAAATAGCATCAGAAAATGGTCGTTGGACATGAATATTTTCGTGAATAAAAATCAGGATATATTCAAAAAAATTTATTCTTCAAAACAGATATATTTTTCAAATTTGAATTGCCATAATTGATTATGTTACTAGTATAATCAATTATGACAGAGAAAATCATTTTTCATTTCTGATGCATCATAATTGATTATGATAGTGAAAAATATCATGTTATGAATTTTATCACACTTGTGCTTTGGAGGCTTATGCATAATATTACTTCATCAACTTGTACCTCCATATCCAGTATTCTAAGACTTTATCTAGTTTTCAGGAATCATCTTGGGTTTGCTTGAATCATCATCTTTATCAAAAACATATATTGGGCATGTAGGGAAATGTTTCACATTGTCACCAACGTCTTAAATTAAGTTTGTCCTTAATTCATCTTGAATGGTGTTGACTTGAATGTAGTTGACTTGAATCATAATCAAAATCATCTATTGGGAATGTAGGGACATTTCAATCAATCTCCCCCTCATTGCT